TAGAATCATTGCCAGACGTTATGGAGAGCAATCAGAAAAGGAATCAGATAAAACCAAAGATTTGGGAGAAGAATTGGCAGATGTTATTTTTGTAGCACTTTGTTTAGCAAACCAGACTGGAGTGGATTTAGAAACAGCTTTTTACAATAAGATTAAAGTAAAAACAGAAAGAGATAAAGATAGGCACCAGAACAATCAAAAATTACAATTGTGAATTTTCATTTAAGCCATCCATCACAAAACATAGAAGAAAATCATTTAAATTTATCTGGATCCAAGAGTGAAAGTAATCGTTTATTAGTTTTAAATGCCTTATTAAAGGGCGATATAGAGATTTGTAATTTATCTAATTCTCAAGACACACAGTTAATAGACAAAGCATTATCTTCAACAGAAGAAGTTGTTGATATATACCATGCAGGCACTGCTATGCGATTTTTAACTGCATACTTTTCACTTCAAGAAGGGCGCAAGACTTTTCTCACGGGATCTGCTAGAATGAAGGAGCGTCCCATTCAAATTTTGGTTGATGCTCTTAGGGATTTAGGTGCCGATATTACATACGCAGAACAAGAGGGTTTTCCACCATTGCACATAAAAGGGAAAAAGATAATTAAAAATGAAGTAACTCTTTCAGCTTCAATTAGCAGTCAGTATATATCAGCATTATTGTTAATTGGAGGGTTTTTAGAGAATGGGATTACCATTCATTTAGAAGGAACAATCACCTCTTTACCTTATTTGAATATGACAATTCAGATGCTTAATAGAGTTAGGATTAAAGCAATGTGGTTAAAAGAACAAAGCATAAAAGTATTTCCATATAAAAAAGAGACTAAGATGGTAACCAATGTGGAATCGGACTGGAGCTCGGCCTCTTATTTGTATAGTATAATTGCCCTTTCAAAAACAGGAAGTTTGTTTATGGACACCTATTTTAAAGATAGTTTACAAGGAGATAAAGCTTTGGTTGAAATTTATAGAGATTATTTTAACGTAGATACAGAATTTATTTTAGAAAATAATTCTAAACCACAGATAAGATTAACAAAGGGCAATAAGTTGTTGCCTTCAAAAATAGAACTAGATTTAAACAATTGTCCAGATATTGCTCAAACCATTTTAGTAACGGCTGTGGGGTTAAAAATTCCTTTTAAACTAACAGGGTTGAGCACTTTAAAAATAAAAGAAACAGACCGTTTAGTTGCTATGCAAAATGAATTAGCAAAATGTAATGTTCAGACAGAAATTACAGAAGACTCTATAAGTCTGGTTTCTTACGAAAAAAATCTTCCGCAAACAGTTAAAATAAGCACATATAATGATCACAGAATGGCAATGTCTTTTGTTCCACTTGCATTAAAGGGAACAAACTTGATTATTGAAAATCCAAATGTGGTGGAAAAATCGTATACCAATTTTTGGAAGGATATGAAAAAATTGGGATTTGAAATAACAAAAATAGAGGCTTAAGGCTTAAATTACGCGTCTTGCTGTAACATAACGTGGACTCCAATAAGAATCATTTAAAGAAGATTGTACCACGCCTTTTGAGCTAGAAGCATGGATAAAATGAACCACCCCATTATAAACTTCACTTACCACCCCCACATGAGAGATGCCAAATTTACCTCTGGTCACAAA